CCCTGGCTGCCCTGTCCTTGCACCTGTGGGTGGCTGATACAAAGCTTTGATCCCCCCCTCTGCAGAGAGTCCCTGTGAGCTGCACCTACCACTTGAGCTTCTTCCCCATCTTCTCATCAATGTCATCCATCATCTCGCTCACTGAGGGAAGCTTGCACAGCCCTGGGAAGAACAGAAGGACTGTCGGCAAAGAGAGAAGGTGCCTGGGAGATCCCTCCCAAAGCCTACAGGATTTGCATGTATTAACTGAGTCCTTGGGTGCTTCTCTGCCCTTTGGCGTGAAGTTCTGGGCTCAGGTCAGTCTTGGGTGTTGCAGACAAGACAAAAATGAGAGCCCACAGAAGCTGTTGCTGTAGAACCCTGACCGCAGCTAGCCTCCCTGCAGCCCCCCCTCCATCCTTTAGGGCGTGCAGTGATGCCCAATCAGCTCTTCTGCCCCACCATGAGGACCTCATTGCCGTCAGCAGCAGGCTGAAGGGTGACCTGCTCCCATGGGGCAGTGCACCCCATCACATGGAGACTGGCAATGTGGCTTTATAACTACGAAATAATAATTGCTGTGGTGAACATCAGTCTTTCCTTGGAACCTAAACTTCCACCGGGCCTCTTCTCTCCCTCCACCATTACCCTGTAGTCATGCAAGACATTGGGTCAGGTTTTGGCACAATGATACCTCTAGCAGGGAAGTAGAAATGATCACCCAAGGACAGGGAAGGATTAAGAACCTTCTCCACAAAATTGATAACCACAGACTGTTTAACAGGTCTGCGCACACCCTCTGTCAGACCAGGCCATCCCCAGATAACAGGCTGGCCAAATCCCATTATGTTCTTTAATATTCAGACTTTGTCTTGATCTTCAGTGTGAACCTGCACACCACTACTGCTAAAAGCTAGTTCCCATTAGCAGGAAATAGACCCTATGCCCAGTACACACCCTTCTACCCACCCTGAAACACCTTAACCGCCCATCGACATTGGAGCTCCGACGTTGGGATGATGGGTCCAAGAGACTGGACCAGCCCAATGACCACCATGGTCGGCTTTTCCAGCTGAGGAGGGAGGATGTCTTTGTAGAGGGTGACCTCGTTGTCCCTGCTTTTGATGATGGAGTCATCCTCCATGAAAGGGTAGGAGTAGCTGTAGCCAGTAGCAAAGATGACCACATCAACGTCTTCCTGCACAGTCCCATCTTGGAACAAGATAGACGTTTCTCTGAATTCCTTCACGTTAGGCTTCACCACCACCACGCCACATGCAATGCGGCTCGGGAGGTCATCGTTGAACACTGGCTCTTTGCGGAGAGTCCTGCAAGGAAACGGGCAGTGGGGCTGTCGTACACAAGGGGCTCCTGCAGCTGGCTGGAGCAGACCAGCTGGGATAGGTACCCCGAGCCCTGTAAGCAGCACCCACTGTAAAGAAGAGTGCTAAACCCAGCAGCAGCCTTGCTGTTTGTGGTGCCGCTACTTTCCTTAGCCCTTAGAATAACGTGTGTGCAACACAATAGGTGCCATACAAATGCTGGGTTGGTATGAAATACTTTGGAACAGCTACTCGGGGCTGCAACCGTAACAGAAAGGGGAATTAAAAAGGCTGACGGGAATAGTTAAGGTTGCAAACTGATTGTTTGACTATCAGAAAAAGCAAAACAGGCAGGGTTTGCCTCCCCAGAGGCAAGCTGAGTGCAGGGGCCTTTCCCGTGCTCCATCTGTGGGGGATGGATACTGGTACCTCGGGGGGTACCTGGCCATCCTGCGAGACAGGTCTGACACCTGGGCTGACCTACCACCCCCAGCAGCACTGCTCCTCCCCCCTGGTTTGGCCACTTCCCGGACACCTAACAAAGCCTAGGACAACCTCACCCCGTGCACCTGGAAGCTTATGAAACAAAGGAGAAAAGGCAAAGAAACTTGGTGCTGTGGTCAACCTGTCCCCATGAGGACACGCGCCCCCAAGCTCTCCCCTCTGCAGGCAGTTTGTGGACAGCCCGCCTGCGCTCACCCATTCACTGGCATGAGGCCAAAGTTCTCGTGCTTGAACGGTCGGTTCATGCTCCTCACATACAGCCAGTCACTGAACGCCCTGGGAAGGATGTTCCCCAGCCAGGTCCGAAAGCGAGTGATGATCATCATGTCCCATGGGTAACCGTGCTCCCAGATGCGACTCATCACCCATGAACCACTTCTGGAGCTCAGGTAGACCTGAGGAACAGCTAGGCAGGCATAAGCAACCCCTTGATTGCCATGAGCATCCCCACATGGTCAGAGCCAGCTCTCAGAGGCCACGGCAAGGAGCGTGGGCGTATGTTGGAGTAGGCGGGAACGGGCTCTCCCAGTCTCCCAGCCTTGCTGTGACCCCTCTTGGCTCAGACTTTCCTCTCCCCCATCACAGGTACCACGAACCCCATACCTGCGATGCCACGGTGCTGAGCTCCACAGCAATGTCGCAACCTGAGTTGCCTAAGCCTATCACCAGCACTTTCTTCCCTCTGAATTTTTCTGGTTCTTTGTACTCTCGGCTGTGAAAGTAGCAGCCTTTAAACTTCTGTATTCCTGCGTGGAAGAACAGAAAGGGAGTTAATTCACCCAGGAATGAAAAGAAGAGGCTGCACTGAGCCTTGGGCTCTCCCCTTCCCTTACTACTGCTGTAGTACAGTCTCTTTGAGGTTTTATTGTGGGAGCTTCCTCCTTAACACAGAGGGATGCTGCATCCTACAGTCCAACAGGTTATTGGCTCTGCATTCATTCAGTGTTCAAACAGAAGGAGAGGAACCCTGGAGATCAGCACCTCCAGCACCTGCTGCTGCTCCATCCTCCAAAGAGCCCCCAAGCCCAATGCGTTCACCACAAGAGAGTTTTTCCCAAAAGTGTGACTGGCTGCTGAGAAGCAAAGGCTCTCTGCTAATATGTGTGACATCTGCGCTAAAAGTCATGAGAAAATGCCAAAAATAAAGTGCTTTAAAAAAATCATTTCAGGAAGTCTTCTGTTAAAGGAAACACCCTGATTTTTTTTTTTCAAGGAAAAATTATAAACGTCTCCAGTAAAAGTGTCCTTACTTTGACACAATTTAAATATTGAGGTTTTTTTCCTCCTTTAAAAAACTTTTTTTCCATTAAGGAAATGGAAACCTATGTCGATCATGACAACAACATTCTCTTTAAAGCTGAGCAGGCTTTTTTTTTTTTTTTCAGGAAAAAATATTTTGATGGCAGACATTTGCCTGGCTGTGTCAGAGCGGGTGAACCGTATATGTGCATCTTACCTGGGAAGTGGGCAGCAGGGAGGTTTGGGTAGACGTGATGGCCAGAACAAATCATAACAGCATCAAAGACCTCAGTCTCTTCCTTCCCTTCCTTTTCCGTGACGACATCCCATTGTCCCGTAACAGAAAAGTCAGGGCGTTTTTTTATCTTGGTGACCAGGGTCTTAAATAAAACAAACAGTTCCATGCATGTTTGTGGTGCAGATAAAGTCTGCAAAAGTTAATGCTCTCGTGGGATTCAGGGGTCCTGGGGAAGCCAGGGGACGTTTGCCCCTGTGATTTTGTGCTGGCAGCTCTGGGGGAGCGCACAGCCCCCTTCGGGAGAGCAGCTGTGAGCTCAGCACAAACCAGGCCAGGGATAGAAATGGCTGCTTCTTGGAAAATGGTCATAAAAGATTAAAAAAACTCTGACAATAACAACAAAAGCCACCCCTAAAACTTGCTAGAAGTGTGTGCCCTTTTTAAAGGAGTGTTTTTGTAAGTTTGCTTTGCTTTTAACTGTGTTTCTAGTTCGTTATAGTTTTTGTAACTGGGATCCTTAATAGAGATCAGAAAACACCACCACCAAAACAACAAAAACACAAAAACCACACAAACAGGAGAAAACTCCCTGGGTTTGACTCTGCTGCCGCCTGATGCGTCTTGCCTCCCACTCAAATGAAAGGTCGCAGAGCTGGCCAAACGTTTTGGAGGGAGCAGTCTGGCAGCTCCCCAGTGCCTCCTGGCACCTCCTGTACTCTCGGGCAGAAGGGTTTTCAACCCGCTCCAACAACAGCGGTTATTAAATAACTTGGAGCAGGCTCCTCCTGCCCTCTCTGTGTGCTGCGGAGCAAACAAAGCCTGGCACCGCTTGTGTGGGGTCTGCTGTCTCACTGTCAAGTATCCCCCTGCAAAAAATGCATGGAGAAGATGGCGCAGAAGTGGCTTTTTTCCTACGTCAGCTGGTTATTTAGTGCTACTCACTGAAGAGGCCCCATCTCACAAAGCAAACCCTGGCAGGATATTTTCCCCCGGGAGTTTTTCCCCTAGGATTTTTCCCCTGTGCCAGGGAGACCCAAACTGACATCCCCCCTACCCAGGCACACCGGCTACTCGCTGCCCTCGCTCCTCCGCCCTCCAGGCTTTTCACCTTGAAGCGGATGTGCCGGAGCAGATCGAAGTGCTTGGCATACTTGCAGATGTACTCCTGCAGCTTCGAGTTGTGCATGTAATTGGGGTGATCGTCAGGGAAAGGGAAGTCGGGGTAGCACATCATCTCTTTGCAGGAGTTGGTGAAGACGGTGCGGTAGATGCTGGCTCTGCCCTCCTCGGCACGCTCCTGAGGAAGGAGGTGTGGTAGGACGGAGGGGAGACGGGTGAGACCCAGAGGGACCAAGCTTTGCAGGCTGGTCCTAACAAATCACGTGTGGTAGGTCCCCCTAATAACCTCAGATACCGCTATTTATCAGGTTAGTGCAATGTAATCTGCATTTACTTGGCAGGAACATGAATTATGATATTGTCTCTACTTAAACCTTGCACACACACAGCAACTATTTTAAAGCTGAAACACCTCTTCTCATAAACAGATGCAGAGTTTAAGGTAATTTTTCTTTCTACTGAGCTGGAACACACACAGGCCATCACAGGTGTATTGCCCCAGTGCATAATAACGAAATCCAAACACTTGCCATGTTAAAGGGAAACACACTTCATCTATCATCCTACCCTAAACTCACTGTCCAGGCCTCTGGTCCTCAAGGCCAATGGCTCACAGTAACAAGAAGATCAAACTGAAAGACATTTCAGAGAAAAAAGCTGCTTAAAAAAAACCACTTATAAGTTGTCCAAATGAGGGTCTAGTGGAGTGGTTCACTTTGCTGGTTTTCCTCAAAATGAACATGTGCAGGTGACTGCTTTGCTGAGCCTCCTGAATCCATGTTTTTCCACCCTAAGTGTTTTGGGTTATAAACTACACCAGCTCTTCCAGAAGCCATCGCCCTCCCGCCCCTGCTTGCAGTCTGGAACACCAGGAAAAAGCACAGAGCCACCAAGGGGAAAAAGTCAAATAACACCTGATGGGCCCTGGGGGTACAGGTGACAGGCA